CGTCGTTTATATGTTATTGCTCAGGAGTTTTTCCGTCCGGGCGTGACTTTTAGTTTCCTTTGGGCATCATCCTTGTTTATTTTCATTTTTTAGGTTCCAAACCCCCTGTTTGACCTAGCTGGCATGACCTGTGGCCACTTTCTCGTTCCCTTCAGCACCTTCTTCGGTGCCACCTGTGTTGGCAAGGCTCTGATCAAAGTTCACATTCAGCAGTTCGCTGTCATTGCTGTGAGCTCCGAAAACCACATCGACACTCTAGTCCATTACATAGGGTAAGCTGTCCTTTACCCACTGATCTCAGATTCCGTTTTTTGTGGCGACAATAACCTCGGGCTTCATGCGTATTCTTCAGTGTTAGCCACCACAGACTTAGTCTAGTAGTCTTCTAAACACGGCGCCTGTCGTTCAGGACGAAATCGGTGTGGACACGAAAAACGTCAGATTTAGAAGAAGGAGGAGATGGCATAATCTTTGGCACCATTCCATATTTTACATACGCCTGTGATTAGCTTTTCGTTCAGTACGACGTCCATAGTGCATTTGCTAGGACTTTCTAACCAGTTTCTTGATCCAAAAGAGCTTGAAAACGTCCACATTACCCTAGTCTTTTGTACAGATAAGGCAACAGCCGCCGTCTGATGACTGTCTTAGACGTTGTGCATGACAAAAAATGGATTTGCCATGTGACATCCGGATTGCCATGAGGATTGCACATGTTCAAACGTAAACAACACAAAAAAGAGTAAAAGTTGCTGGGTAAAGTGTGAAGTTAAATCACCGCCCACGATAGTTATAATTGGAGAATTTGGAATCCATACTTTAACTGTTGATTTTACTTACTGCCTCTATCTCGGGAGTTTTTTTGTGTGGCGGCCTGGATCATTTTAATTCTACATCGAATTTTCAGTTGAGAATAGACAGCTCAACAGGACGATCAGGACTACATTTTCTTCCAACATGAACCGAGTTTCCCTGTAGGTAAATCTGAGAACACTGTGGAAACTAGTCGGTCAGTGTATTTGAGGAAAATTGGCTTACGCCTTTGAAATCTCTCGATGATTACCTCAGTATGTTTGCAGCCCATTTTTTTTACCGACCTTTCTCGCACGCTCATCAGAAACAGGGATTGTGGGGGGGAGGGGTACCCGCCAACAAACTTCTTCAGAATATGTTACTTGTCATTAAAATTTCGCCAAACGTAGTCTTCAACTCCTGTGTTTTATTTTCATGACTACTGTGTTTCCTTTTATCACCACCTATAGCCGGATTCCTGTGATTGGCGACAAACTCCAACAGCCCTTCATGGAGTATCTTCAACTACAGAGGGAGAAGTTGCATAATAAAGTCGTTGATACGGTAAGCCTGCTTTTGCTTCACAAACTTATCTGCCAATAATAGCAGCGAAACCTCTAACTGTTTCTATTTTAAGCCTTGCTGTGAGCATGAGGGCTAGGAATCCCCTCCCGGTCTGCACTTAGTAGATGACCATTTTTCAAAACTTGCAACAAATTGATCACTTAATCCACTCCAGAGCGAGAAAAAACGGACTACACAGAAGTGGCTGTTTTGCTATAGTCAACCAAAACCGATAATTCTGGTGTCAATTAACGCTTCCTCTAGTGTGTAGACACAATGTGGGTCAAGCCCTCTTTTCTTTTTTTTTGCTTTCAAAGCAAGCGCATTAACCTCTTAGCCTCCAGCTACGTGACTACTAATGGAAGGCTGGACGAAGACGGAATGCTACCGTAGAAATAAAAAGTCCTCCGAAATTCCGCAAACAGCTACATTTGTGCTCGTTCCATTTTAGTTGCCCCTTTTTGTATGACTGGCTTTAGAGGTTCTACTTGCCTTTGACTTAATAATAATAATAATAATAATAATAATATGCGTTTACATTTTGCAGTAGCCCGTGTTACAGCCAATATGAGGTATAATTTCCATCAATAGGCATCAGTTGCCTGAGCAACAGGAGTTTATGTTGATG